CCTCCTTCATCCTTCCCTCCATCCATCCCTTCCTCCCTCCTTCATCCTTCATCCCTCCCTTCATCCACCCCTTCCTCCCTCCCTTCATCCATCCCTTCCTCCTCTTACCCTCCCTTCATCCATCCCTCCCTTCATCCATCCTCTTTCCCACCTTCATCATCCCTCCATCCATCTCTTCCTCCTCCCTTCATCTCCCTCCATCATCCCTTCCTTCCTCCTTTCCTCCTTCATCACTCCTTCCTCCTCCCTTCCACCTCCCTTCATCCATCCCTCCCTTCATCCATCCCTCCTTCATCCATCCCTCTTTCCCACCTTCATCCTTCCCTCTCATCCCTCTTCTCCCCTCCTTCCTTCCTCCTTATCCTTCCCTCCATCCATCCCTTCCTCCCTCCCTTCATCCTTCCCTTCATCCCCTTCATCATCCCTTCCTCCCCTCCTTCATCCCTCCTTCATCCATCCCTTCCTCCCACCTTCATCATCCCTCCATCCATCTCTTCCTCCTCCTTCATCCTCCCTTCATCCTCCCTTCATCCACCCCTCCCTTCCCTTCATCCATCCTCCTTCATCCATCCGTCTTTCCCACCTTCATCATCCCTCCATCTCTCTTCCTCCCCCTCCCTTCATCCTCCTTCATCCCTCCTTCATCCACCTTCCTCCTTCCCTTCATCCATCCCTCCCTTCATCCATCCGTCTTTCCCACCTTCATCCATCCCTCCATCCATCTCTTCCTCCCTCCTTCATCCCCTCCTTCATCATCCCCTCCATCCATCCCTTCCTTCCTCCCTTCATCCCTCCTTCATCCACCCCTTCTCCCTCCTTCCCACCTCCCTTCCCATCCACCTCTTCATCCATCCGTCTTTCCCCTTCATCATCCTCATCCATCTCTTCCCTCCCTCCCTTCATCCCTCCTTCATCCCTCCTTCATCCACCTTCTCCTTCCCTTCATCCATCCGTCTTTCCCACCTTCATCCATCCCTCCATCCATCTCTTCCTCCTCCTTCCTTCCTCCCTTCATCATCCCCTTCATCCATCCCTTTTCTTCCTCTTCATCCCTCTATCCACCCCTTCCTCCCTCCCTTCCACCTCCTTCATCCATCCCTCCCTTCATCCATCCGTCTTCCCCACCTTCATCCTTCCCTCCATCCATCCTTCCTCCTCCTTCATCCATCCTCCCTTCATCCATCGTCTTTCCCACCTTCATCCTTCATCCATCCTTCCTCCTCCCTTCATCCCTCCCTTCATCCACCTTCCTCCTTCCTTCATCCATCCCTCCTTCATCCATCCGTCTTTCCCACCTTCATCCTTCCCTCCATCCATCCCTTCCTCCTCCTTCATCCCTCCTTCATCCACCTTCATCCCTCCTTCTCATCCCTCCATCCATCCCTTCCTTCCTCCTTCATCCCCTCCTTCATCCACCCCTTCCTCCTCCTTCATCCATCCCTCCTTCATCCATCGTCTTTCCCCCTTCATCCTTCCTTCATCCATCCCTTCCTCTCCCTTCATCCTCCTTCATCCACCCCTTCCTCCTCCTTCATCCATCCTCCATCCATCCCTTCCTTCCTCCTTCATCCTCCTTCATCCACCTTCCTCCCTCCTTCATCCCTCCTTTCATCCACCCTTCCTCCTCCCTTCATCCCTCCTTCATCCACCCCTTCCTCCTCCTTCCACCTCCCTTCATCCATCCCTCCATCCATCCCTTCTTCCTCCCTCTCATTCCACCCCCCTCCCTCCTTCATCCTCCCTCCCTCCTTCATCCCTCCTTCATCCATCCCTCCATCCATCTCTTCCTCCTCCTTCATCCTTCCCTCCATCCATCCCTTCCTCCCTCCTTCATCCTTCCTTCATCCATCCTTCTCCCTCCTTCATCCCTCCCTTCATCCACCCTTCCTCCTCCTTCATCCATCCCTCCATCCATCCCTTCCTCCTCCTTCCACCCTCCTTCATCCATCCTCCCTTCATCCATCCCTCTTTCCCTTCATCCATCCTCCATCCATCTTCCTCCCTCCTTCATCCCTCCTTCATCCACCTTCCTCCCTCCTTCATCCATCCTTCCTCCTTCCCTCCATCCATCCTCCTTCATCCTTCCCTCCTTCATCCCTTCCTCCTCCTTCATCCATCCATCCATCCTTCCTCCCTCCTTCATCCATCCTTCCTTCCCTCCTTCCCTTGTCTATTGTATATAGAAACTCTCTTCCTCTCTCTCTCTCTCTCTCTCTCTCTCTCTCTCTCTCTCTCTCTCTCTCTCTCTCTCTCATTTAATATGTATATATCTATGTATGAATGTGTGAATGTATGTATAAATGTACGTGTATATATTATGTTTATGTATGTATGTACGTATGTAAAGGCTTCCTATTCTGTGTACATAAACAAAGGGGCTTCGTTACCATGGAGTTTGTGTGTGTGTGTGTGTGTGTGTGTGTGTGTGTGTGTGTGTGTGTGGACTCCGTGTAATAATAGATAACACGTGTGTACATAGCGATGTGAAATATGTATGTATGTACGTACTTTTCAAGGCGAATTGATCCATGTGCGTTTGACTGTACCTCAAAGGGTTAAATCATCGTCCTCAAAGGGTTAGTCATCGTCCTCAAAGGTTAATCATCGTCCTCAAGGTTAAATCATCGTCCTCAAAGGGTTAAATCATCGTCCTCAAAGGTTAAGTCATCGTCCTCAAAGGGTTAATCATCGTCCTCAAAGGGTTAAATCATCGTCTCAAAGGGTTGAATCATCGTCGTCAAAGGTTAAGTCATCGTCCTCAAGGGTTAAATCATCGTCCTCAAAGGTTAAATCATCGTCCTCAAGGGTTAAATCATCGTCGTCAAAGGGTTAATCATCGTCCTCAAAGGGTTAAATCATCGTCGTCAAAGGTTAAGTCATCGTCCTCAAGGTTAAGTCATCGTCCTCAAAGGTTAAATCATCGTCGTCAAAGGTTAATCATCGTCGTCAAGGTTAAATCATCGTCGTCAAAGGGTTAAACATCGTCGTCAAAGGTTAAATCATCGTCCAAGGGTTAAATCATCGTCGTCAAAGGTTCATCATCGTCGTCAAGGGTTAAATCATCGTCCTCAAAGGGTTAAATCATCGTCGTCAAAGGTTTAATCATCGTCGTCAAAGTTATCATCGTCGTCAAAGGTTAAATCATCGTCCTCAAGGGTTAAATCATCGTCGTCAAAGGTTAAATCATCTCAAATTTTTTATCTCGTCTCAAGTTTGTATTTTTAGACCAGTTTAGTGTAGGTTAGATTATGTAATGAGTACTTTTGGTATCATTGCAATGGGTCCCCCTGACACCATTGTAATGGATACCATGGGCATAATATGCAGTTATAGTGAGAGTTATAGTAGTGGGCTCACAGTGAGGAAAGTTGGCAGCGTGGCCCAATAGTTATTTGACTGTTCTTAGGAGAAATGTGTTAAACAACAATTGTAAGTCTACAGCTGTGTATAAGTTAACTGAGTGACATTATTAGATCATTATATTGACGGTACCTGACATGGGTACACTCCCACCATAAGTCACTCACACTATGGATCACTCTGACAATAGTTCACGTGTGACCTGTGGGAGGCTCAACAGCTGGGGGACTCTGACTACAGGGCCCAGGCAAGGCTGGGGAGAGGGTCCTCCTCCCGAAATTGGGACTTGTGACTGAGTGTGACTCCGTCTGGCTTTGGGTTGTGTCTGTCTCTGGAGGGAGCTGTAAATCCCCTTTTATTGCGTGATTATTGTCATAGGCCGGCAGGTGTCGTCTCCTAATTGTACTAATCTGGGTGTGTCTGGACAGATGTGTTTGGTCAGGTGTACTGGCTGGGATACGTCTACCTGTCGACCTCAGTAGGAAGGCGAGAACTCCTTGCCCCTTCGTGACTCTTGTTGGCTCAGGGTTTAATCTCGTTTAATTACTGTAGGTTGGGCCAGCTTAAGTGGGTGTACACCTTCTCATCCAGTTACTATGTTGCTGTTTTCTGGGCTGGAGCAGATTAAGTTAGGTTTGGTTAGAATTAGGTTAGGTTAGATTAAATTTGATTTGTTAGGTTAGATTCGTTACATAAGATAAACATTAAGGTGTTAAATCATCAGGTGAGTCTAATCTTCAGGTGATCCTTATAGTGAAAAATTAATAGTATTTTATCTCTCTTGACAGAGTATGTGCCCAGGAGGGAGTGTGTAGGGGGTAGCAGCTACTGACTGTACCTACACTGTTTACCTATTACCTATACTGTCTTGTATCTTATCACTTTATAATAGTATACTGTAACACACATACATATATATACATCAACACACACACACACACACACACACACACACACACACACACACACATCACAAAACATCACACACACACACACTCTCAAACATCACACACACACACCACTACCACATTATAATCATGACCACTCCACACCCACCACTACTACCACCATTTCTACTACTACTACTACTACCACCACAGCATCTAGTCGCCTCTGGTAAGCTCACTTAATAGTTATTATGTGTTTTGATGTGTCATATGTATGTATATATGAGGTATATATGTATTTTGTTGGCACTTTTAGTTAAGGCGTATGTATACTTGGGAGATAATGATGATAATTTACGGTTTATTGATAGAGCATAGCAACCAGAAGGCTTAAAATATACAGTTACATAATTGGGGAATGGGTTTCGATTTACAAATAATATACAAATAACATAAGTGATACAAATAAGATATATAATAACTAGATGGGGAAAAGCTCAAACTACAGGGCATTTATACTCATTTTGAGTTAATATTTTTATTATTATTATTTATTATTATTATTATTGTTATTATTATTATTATTATTTATTTATTATTATTATTAGTTATTAGTTATTTTTATTATTATTATTATTTTATTATTATTTTTATTTATATATTTATTATTATTATTATTTCTACTACTACTACTACTACTATTGCTACTATAATTATTATTCTTGCACCATTGCAATACTTCATTTGTTTCAGGGTCACCAACATGGGTCACCAGATCAAGATTTATGGACGTGGATATATTCTTCAACCTCACCACGCTCACCATCCTGGTCAATGATGTTGTGGTGAGTGATGGTGTCTTGGTGAGGGGAGTTGATGGTGAAGTGGTGGGTGGGAGGGGCGATGATGGTTGATGGTGGTGGTGTTTGGTTGATGGTTATGGTGACGTTAGTGGTGATAATAGTGATGGTGATATGACCAGAGGAAATTAACCTTTTTAAAACAAACTTAATTTTCATAAAATAAATATAATAATAATTCCTTCGTGTAGGTGGAGGAGGTGGGCGTGGCAGCAGGTGGAGGCATGCACTAGCAGCCTTACACGAGACGCGGGGCACCCTCTTGGCCTCTAGAACCATCCCGACCTCCAAGCCCTCTGAGGCCTACATCCTACGGCATACCTTGAGGTCTCTCCAGCCAGGTCGAGTACTGGTGTTGGCCTTGGTGGTGAGTGGCTTCTCTCTCTCAACTTGACCTACCCTAACCTACCTTGTACCTACCCTACCTTAGCCTAGCCTGCCCTACCTTAACCTACCCTACCTTCGCCTGCCCCTACCTACCTTAGCCTGCCCTACCTACCTGGGCCTACCCTACCCTACCTTAGCCTGCCCTACCCTACCTTAGCCTGCCCACCCTGCAGCCAGCCTGCCCTGCCCAGCCTTCGCCCTGCCCTACCCTGCACCAACCTGCCCTGCCTCCAGCCTGCCTACCCTACCTTAGCCTGCCCTACCCATTAACCTGCTTTACCCCTGCACCAACCTGCCCTACCTCCAACCCCTGCCTGCCCCTACCCTACCTTGGCCTACCCTACCCTACCTAGCCTGCCCTACCTTGCTTTGGCCTACCCTGCCCCTGCCTAACCTGCCCTGCCCTGCACCTTGCTGCCTGCCCTACCCTGCCTCCAACCCTGCCTCCTTGTGCTGCCCTCCTACTTGTAGCCTGCCCTACCCACCTTCAGCCTGCCCTCCTCCCCTGAGCAGCCCTGCCCTGCCCTACCTTAGCCTACCCCTGCCCTACCTTGCCTGCCCTACCCTACTTTAGCCTGCCCTGCCCTGCAGCCAGCCTGCTCTGCCCACTGCAGCCAGCCTGCGCTGCCCTGCAGCCAGCCTGCCTGCCCTGCAGCAACCCCTTAACCCTGCCTGCCTTACCTGCCCTACCCTGCCTTTCTCCCCTGCAGCCTAGCCTGCCCTACCTGCACCTTTGTGCCCTGCCCTACCTTAACCTGCCCTACCTACTTTATCCTGCCCTACCCTGCAACCAGCCTGCCTGCCCTGCCCTGCCTTAGCCTGCCCCTACCTACCTTAACCTGCCCCTACCCTGCAGCCAGCCTGCCTACCCTCAGCCAGCCTGCCCTACCCTCACCTTGGCTGCCCTACCCTACATTAGCCTGCCCCTGCCCACTGCCTTACCCTGCCTACCCTGCACCTTAGCCTGCCCCTACCTCACCAGCCTGCCCTACCCTATAGCCTGCCCTACCCTCCTCATGATATCTTAATCATTTATCAATGTTGTTTTTATTACATTACATTATTATAATACTGTATTATTATTATTATACAAGTATTATTACTTTTACTATTATTATTATTGTTATTACAGTATTATTTTTATCATCATCATTATCATCAATCATCATCATTATTATTATTATTATTATTTTCATCATTGTCGTCACAGCCAGATGGTGCCAGGTACTTGGCACCAGCTGAGTCACTCCTCCATGACCTGGGGTGCCGCCTGCTCTCCAGTGTGGGCGTGGGTGAGGCATGGGCAGCTATCATCAGTGGTAACGTGACCCACGAGGCCGTAGTCACCCGCACGCCCATACCCATCAACACCCGCAGTACCTACAACACCATCCTGGCTCCTGTAGACCATAGCCTGGGGGTCAGTGTGTCCATACCAGCACGCGAGGGTGAGTTACTGACCTGTCCTGTGTTTGTGTACAGTGAGTGGATGACAAGATACCTCTACGACAAAATCTCCCCAGGAAAAAATCCCTCATGAGAAATCCCCCAGGACAAAATCCCTCAAGAGAAATACCCCATGACAGTAACTCTCTGAGACAAAATCCTCAAGGACAAAATTCTCTTACTGTACTGTTTATTATTGTTTGTATAGCCAAGCGGCAAATGAACCGATCAGTGGTGAAGAGGATAAAACAATCTATATACACTACAGTGTATACCTGCACAATCTATATACACTACAATGTATACCTGCACAATCTATATACACTACAATGTATACCTGCACAATCTATATACACTACAATGTATACCTGCACAATCTATATACACTACAATGTATACCTGCACAATCTATATACACTACAATGTATACCTGCACAATCTATATACACTACAATGTATACCTGCACAATCTATATACACTACAATGTATACCTGCACAATCTATATACACTACAATGTATACCTGATCATATACACTACAGTATACCTGCACAATCTATATACACTACAAGTATACCTGCACAATCTATATACACTACAATGTATACCTGCACATCTATATACACTACAATTATACCTGCACAATCTATATACACTACAATGTATACCTGCACAATCTATATACACTACAATGTATACCAGCACAATCTATATACACTACAGTGTATACCTGCACAATCTATATACACTACAGTGTATACCTGCACAATCTATATACACTACAGTATGCCTGCAATCTATATACACATGCCTGCAATCTATATACACTACAATGTATACCTGCACAATCTATATACACTACAATGTATACCTGCACAATCTATATACTACAATGTATACCAGCACAATCTATATACACTACAGTGATTATACCTGCACAATCTATATACAGTGTATACTTGGAAATCTATATACACTGATGTATACCTGCACAATCTATATACACTACAATGTATACCTGCACAATCTATATACACTACAATGTATACCTGCACAATCTATATACACTACAGTGTATACCTGCACAATCTATATACACTACAGTGTATACCTGCACAGTCTATATACACTACAATATGTATGCCTGCACTGTCTATACACTACAATGTATGATGCACTGTCTATATACACTACAAAGTTATGATGCACTGTCTATATACACTACAAAGTATGCCTGCACTGTCTATATACACTACAAAGTATGCCTGTATATATATACATACAAAGTATGCCTGCACTGTCTATATACATATAAAGTATGCCTGCATGTCTATATACACTACAAAGTATGCCTGCACTGTCTATATACATTCTAAGTATGCCTGCTGTCTATATACACTACAAAGTATGCCTGCTGTCTATATACACTACAAAGTATGCCTGCTGTCTATATACACTACAAAGTATGCCTGCACTGTCTATATACACTACAAAGTATGCCTGCTGTCTATATACACTGATAATATGCACTGTCTATATACACTACAAAGTATGCCTGCACAATCTATATACACTAATGTATACCTGCACTGTCTATATACACTCAAGTATGCCTGCTGTCTATATACACTACAAAGTATGCCTGCACTGTCTATATACACTGCAGTAGCCTGCACTGTCTATATACATGCTGAATTTATGTGTGCACAGCAAGACGATGTCCTTGGCACAGTCGGCGTGAGATGATGCAGCAGCGGATCTTCTGTGACACTTATGATGGATTTCCGGAGCTGTGCCGCTGTCACCGCCCCCTGACACCTGCAGCTGCCCGGGCCATGGCTGTGAGTCTTGGCGCACACCTCAGTAATTTAGTTTATTTATTTATCATTTCATTACATCAGTTTACTAGCCATTCAGGTAGTTGGCTGCTGTTTGTTACTTTGTTATCACCTGCATTGCTAAGTGTTAGTATTGGAAGAAATTTGAGTATACTGTAGTACCTGGAAAAACCTGTCATGTTTGGTCGTGGGGTGCTGGATAACACCCTTCTCACATCTATCTCAGGCTGAGGATTGAACCCAGGACATAGTTGTTGAAACATATGACCCCTGTGATTATATGTATGACATTCATTGTACTCGGGGAATTAATCTTCATTTACATTCACAGCCGAGGATGGAGTGAGAGTATCCCATGTGTAGTGGCCACATCTAAGCACCCCTACCACTTCTACAGGTGGGTACTGCACTCTGCTACAGTGACGTATATAAGTTTCTGAAAAGGGGGCACGGAGACTCAATAAAAGGAGCATTATTTTATTTCCATCCACTAATCTGTTCATGTTTTGTAAGCAAGGAGGGAGGAGGGTATGGATGGATGTCCCTATATGCCACAGCTCTTGTCTTCAGGATCCAGATTCACAAAGTCTCCATAATGAATATTCCTCTTAAGTGATGGTATAACAATGTAAGGTATATTGATCTACAGTATTCATAAAGGAGAGTATGTATAGTGGTTAAGAGTAGGTTTCAAGATCCGGAATAGATCCAATATAACATTGGTGGTGGTAGTTGTGCGTGATCGTGGTGGGCTCGGGAATCTCCGTTTACGAGATTATGGAGGAAGGATAGTATGTTGGTGATATTGCCAATGTGGAACTGGAGGGTCCCGTGGAAAGTGAGGAACGCGTAGTGATCAAATATAACATATGGATTAATTGAAATGGAGTCCAGGCTTATCCCCTTAACTCCACTTTTTTGACGCACATTACTATGGTTGCAGTAAAAATTTTATCTTAACTTTGTGATGGTATTAAAACAAGTAATATAGTGAGGTTAGGTTAGGAAAGATAAAGGTTAACATAGGAAAATGAAGGTTACCTTAGAGAAACTAAAAGTTAGGTGGAACACTTTACGTAGTAGAAGAGATGGGTCGATATTGGGATGGAGGTTGGTTCTGAGGCAGAGGGCAGAGATTACTGGCCCTCAGGTGAATCAACATTATCAAGGTGGAATCATCATCATCACTTTAGAGCTGTCAGGGCTTCCGACAAATTCCTCAAAGTCAACTTCACGTCACTATCACTGGCTTGGCTGGCTGTGGTGGGTTGCGGTGAAGAAATCTGTTATGCTTTGCTGACGGCTGCTGATGTTGTCGTGATACACCTTTGATGTACGGCTCCATAGCCTGCACCAGCCGGTTATGGAAGACTTATAGCGTTTATCGTCATTGTTGGTGAAAGGAAGGACTTCATCTTCTGCACACCCATGGCACCCTTAATATCACTATGACTTAAATTGTGTTCTTCGGAGACTGCCGCACCTTCTTCCTCCTCTTCACTGGCGTGTTCTTCTTCCAGACATCCTCGCTGCCTAGCAGTCACTCAGGATTTCTGATCACCTCCACAGGATGTCGTCGTCGGCAGTCTCGGAGAAGCCTGAACTGTAATCAGTTTAAGCAGCTCTGCAAGGTCCCACTGCTACTGCACAGTCTGAACCTCACCAGTCACAGATTGACTCCTCCTCTCACCTGGTATTCCATGCAACACATGTCTCCATACAGTGACGAATTGTAGCAATAGACAGTTGATCCCATGATTCCACCAAGATGTCCACAGTTTCTTTTTGATGTTAAATACTTCCAGAATTGTTTGAAGAGTGTTTTTTGCTGTTCTAACCGTTGTTCCTTGAGGGTTGAAACTGCCGCTGCTAGGTCAAGCGTCGTCTTTTCCTCCCTCCCTCCTGGGTGGACACGTCATAATACTTTAAGCCAATTACAGCTAGCAGCAGAGGAGGGTAGGGATGCATGGCCAATCACAGGTCTGATACGTCATATGACGTCAGTGATAACGCAACAAAGACACACTGGCATCCTTACTGCTGCCGGCCTGCCTCGCTGGAGGGAGGAGGAGGGAGAGGCAGGCAGGCGGGCGCGCCAGGGTAAACTAAAATAGCGGCCGTGCCGTGACACTTCCCGGTAATGGCGTTCGCGACCAAGGAATGTAAGAATGTTAGGTTCTGCAAGGCACCGCTAACGTGAAACGCGAATGCGGACCGCGTAATATGAGGACCAACTGTACAGTATCTATCAGGTGTTTAAAATGGACGAATCTGTCTTTCTGGAAAGCTAC